TTCCACAATGTTCTATGAAAGACATGCTAAAACTGCCGTTTGATCATTTTTGGGAGTGTTTTTGGCTTTATAGCAAATGTAGATTGGGCCTCAAAATCACCAATTATAGGAAAATAGGGCCAAAAGAAAAATTGAGTGGGAGTAAGTAAACGACCCTTTTGTATGACGAAAGTGACAAATGAGCGAGCCAAATCCAATAACTGAGTGAGCCAAATCCAACTCAATCACAAAAAGTACTTCTTTTTTCATACTGGTTCTTCCATGTAGTTTAACCTTTCTTCATTCAGCTTTGGAGCGCCATGGTTTCCACGGGTTCGACGCAGCTGGTGGCATTGAGCAATCGGCTAGCTCCATGCCCACCCCTAGAACCAGATCAAAAAGCAGGATCAGGGGAAGCACCAGGGTCAGTGGGAGCATGAAGGATGAGAATGAAAGCAGGTGGTTTCCAGATGATCCCAGGTACACCTTGAGGTACACTGGACATCTGTTCGGGGGTTTCAGGATGGACCTCAAATACAGGTGCTAAAAATACAAAACAATTATAAATTTTTTTCAGAGTAGCTTCAAATTTACCTCCACCCCTCTGTGGAAGCATGCGTGAGCACTACTTCATAAAAAAACTCAGGAGTAAAAAGTAAGAAAATCGACTGTCTTTTTCAACCATTTTGGTCCTCTGGCTGTACGCATTTTGTAAACTAATTGTAGTATTGACCTTGACAGTCATAAGACGTTAGGTAATACTATAATACATACATATAAACATGTTATAGGATCATAGTATGACCTCTACACCACATTCCCCCTTCGAAATAAATCATTATAAATAACCATATCAAACAAGTATGCTATATCTAGATGTCGTTAGTAGTCCGATAATATAAAAGTTTGTCAGTTTGTCACTTCAATTTAGTAGGTCATTTATACCCACTATTCTTCCTCGTCGCCGCCAGGCTCCTCTCACAGTTTTTCCAGGTCTTCTAGAATTTGTCTCTGATCGTCTTCGGTCATGCTTATAGCAGACATTTCATCTGCTATATCCAGGTCGTGCGTTGTAAATGGGCCAATCGAATCACCGCTGATGTTCACTACGTCCGCAGTTCCCTATAGCATTTTATTTGTCACGACTGTTTTTCCATCTTCTTCTGACGCCAGTTGTTGCTTCTCAGGTTGTGCTATTTTTCCCTCCAGTTGGCTTTGGCTTTGCTATTGAATAGCCAAAGGCGTGCTCTGTTGCGCTATTCCCCGACGTTCATCTTGTTTGATTGGTGTGCTGACCTATACTCGACGTTTTATCTGCACTGAAGCCACAGACTCCTCACCAGTTCAATCCAACAAGTCTCTCCCAGTACGATCAATTAATTATGGAAATTGTATGATAACCAATTTTTTCAAAAAAAATAATCGTAGTTATTTTTCATCACCAGATTGTTGTATTTGGTTCAAATAGCCGGAGAAACTAGATTGAATCTTTTTTCAATAGTTTTTTGAAATTGTATGAAAACTGTATGATAAGCATTTTTCCATACATTTGATGCAGGCAATTGTATGATAAGCATTTTTGGTGTGGGGAAATATAAGATGAGCATTTTTGGTTTATGGAGATCAACCCGGGGTCACATTACCTTTCCAGGCCTCTTCGTTGGTTTTATTCGGTTTTCTTTATAAGACCGCACAAAAACCGCTTAAAATACGCTCAAATCTTGCTGGCAAAAACCGTTCAAAAATCACAGCAAGAAATGAGCGGTTTTTGAGCGGTTTTTGAGCGGTATTTTAAGCAAGGTTTAAGCGGTTTGAGCAGTTTTTCCAAAAAAAAAACGCCCAAAACGCTCAAATCTTGCTGAAAAACCGGTCAAACCGCTCATACCGTGAGCGGTTTTTGAGCGGGATCTCTACCCGGGTTGTTCTCTGTGTTTCTGTTTGCGCGATGTCCACAAGCTTGTCCAAATTAAGATTTTTCCTACTGTTTCTAATCCTTCCTTCTAAACCCTTGGTACAAGGATTGCAACCGAAACCAATCTATGACATTGCACAAGGAGTCCTCTCGTCTAGCCCCGTTTTTTCATTCTGCACACGTTCCTGCCCCCAGTAAAATCGACAAACCTCTCTATTGAAAAAGATGTCATCCGCACTACTGTTCTTTGGGCTTGTTTTTTTTGGTGAGATGGTATTTGACGGATTCTTTGTTATGAGATCCCACACGTGCATTGCCTACTCCTCTTGTACTGGTAACCGTTCTCAACACCACACTTGCTGTTAATTTTGACGGTTCTCCAGGTTCTTCGTCCAATGTGTCTTGTTGCGTAATGACGGCATCCACCTGGCTAATTCCGGTGGCGGTTGCACGAGTAAAAAATCGTTACCATAGAAATTTTGCTGGCTTCTTTTCTGTAAGTGGAGTGTATTGTGTCGTGTTGCGACCGTCTTTGATGTCGTTTCCACCGTCCCATCTTGCTGATCGCTTGTCAGCCTGGGCGAAGGTGTACTTGGTCATTCATGTTTCCACTGGTACTTTACCTATATTAGATAGTTTCAAACCCCAACCATTTGTTATCATTGGCGAAGATAGTGCACTTAATCCATTTTACGGCAGCGTCATTCTCGTTCAGTACTTGCAATAACTTTTTAGCTCTTGCCAATGGCGTTCCTCTGATCCCGGGTTGCAATTAGAATATCATCCAGGCCCACCATCGAATCCATAACCCGTCGGAATTCGTTAGGCATGTCCCCTATACCGGGCTTAAAGCAAAAGATACCCTAACCACAACCCAATCTTAAAACGATAGGTTCGGGTGATTTTACCCCCTACAAAGCTGAAACTGCATTCTCGGCTAGTTTCATCACTTAACGCTCTTTGCAACGGATTATTATCTACCAACTTGCTCATGTTGGGCATTTGGTACTGATTTCGATAGATCTCTTTGTAGAATAATTTTGAATTTAATACCAGTTTAACCGAGGTTACCACCGTAACTAAGATGAAACAGTTTTTGGTACTTTAATTCAACTTTACAATATGACCCTCTTGAAGCAAGCGGTTTACTGTATGTTCGATCTTCGGTAACAGGTGTATTGGCACTCTTTTCCCCTAAGTTGTTCTGGACGTAGCGGTTTGTTGAAGTTTATTCTAACCGCCCAATTTTTAATGCCCTTTTCATTTGAATAATTCTGTTAATTCTTTTAGTATAAATTTGATTTACTTAAGCTGGACCGGTGAATACTCTACTGCTGATTCCTTGGTAATGTCTTTTTGCTTTTCATTGACAGACCTTGAGCTTTTCTTTTGTCGCACCTCCACACCCGGGGCATTAAGAATTTTGTTTCCAATGATATCTCGTTGGCCTCCCTCTCTGACATAGAACTCGGCTCCCTGAGCTATCCAACCTTCCGATTCAATATCAAAGCAGATGCGTCCAATTATCTCAATAACGTCGTCCGTTGCCCTGTAGAAAATGTTTTGAATCTACTCAAGAACTGTTCGATTGTCAACGAATTTTTTTCTTATTTTCAGTTCGTGTAATTTTGATTGGGAAATGAAAGACACCGGGCTCACACAATCGGTTCCGTCCCATTTCTACCTCTAGTTTTTTCCGGTTCTCTTTTCCTCCTTTGTCCATTACCGTCTCGCTGAAAATTACTCCAATTTCCTCGTTGTCCTGTTGTTCCGAATTGCGAATGATACTTTTGTCTCGTATTGCATGTTTTTTTACGACCCGTTCACTTGATTTACCTAAGTTGTCTTCCAAAACTTCACGCAATTACCTCGGCCAGTACAGTTGTTTTAGTTTAGGTCTTTTGCTTTACAATCATCCCTGTGGTTCAGTTTCAGCGGGTTCTCACAATTACATATTTGTCCAACACATTGTTTGGCCGGTCATTGTTAAATCTATTTATTTCAAATTTCGGTTATTGCTAACTTTCTCTCTCCGCTAACTTTCTTATACATAAGATCGCCTCTCTCTCTCTCTCTCTCTCTCTCTCTCTCTCTCTCTGACTACACCAAAGTGTAGAGCATCATCGGGACTTAATGTTTCCATGAACAATTGGTTTATCACTTCTTCGATCTACATTTCAAAAACTGAAAATATTACGTACTATCGATTCCTCGCGATCCCCGAGATCACTTGATGCCCCAAAATATTGTTCCATATTTTTGTTGTCCCTCTGTTTCCGTCCAAGTAATGTAAATCTCCGAATAGTAACATTCGGTTCTTTTTGAACAGTATCCATTTATAACTTCCACAATTCAATGAAAGCAACATCTACAATCTTCCGGCATGGGTATTTTTGACCCCGGGTCGATCCCTTAAATTTTCTCGTTCTTTTTCTGCCCTCCGGGGCTCCTCTTCTCGCCAGAGCGTTATTGCTGCGGTATTTCTCGTCTCTCGTTCCGTCTTCGCCTGTTGGTCCTCCGTCCCTTGTGGGTCTTCAAGTGTCGGATAGGGGTTGTCTGGCAATGGATTATCTTCTAATAAACCCTCTATGTCAATTTCTTCCTTTGCAATGACAACTAACTGGAATCTTTGGATCCAATCCTCCCACGGGACCGGGGTTCCTGAGACGGCTCAGGCCAGAAAACTTCAAGGCCACTATAGGCTGAATCCGTATTTGAATGCGCCATGTCGAAGTGTGCGTGAGTACTACTTCAGAAAAAAATTGAAGAGTAAAACGTAAGACGATCAATTGTGTTTCTCACCTAATGCCAGCCACTGGCTGTACGCATTTTGTAAACTAACTGTAACGTTGACCTTGAACTCAACAATCATACCGCATTACGTAATACTACAATTAAACATATTAACATGTTATAGGGTCATAGTATGACCTCTGCACCACACCCTCAACCCCAAAACCCCAATATGCTGATTTTTTGAGAACACGTTTTTCTTGTCGGAGTGTTTGGAGCTTTTCCTGTCTTCCCACTTCCCATGGATGGTGTTACCTTTCATATTACAACATCGAGGTTGCTTTAGGAATCAGCTAGTAGGAAATATGGGGTAAGCATGGAAGTGTCGAGTATAGCAGCCCTGTTCTCGTGTAGGTTTGGGAGTGGGGAGTACGGGCGTGACTGGGGGGACGGGTGCAAGTGGATCTGTGTGGCCGCCATCTGCTTCCTCTACTTCTCGATCATAGTCCCAGAGGTCACTTTCGGAGCTAACCTCAGTAAGTATAATGTATGGAAAAATTTTTTGAGGCTTATTTTGTGGGTGTGGGGGTTTTCTAATTTGGTCTTAAACAGTTTTTTTAATGAATAGCTGCAAAGCCCTGTAGTCTGCAAAACTGGATTGCGTTGAATATCTAGGCAACTGGTTCTTTTAAAATTTGCTGCTCTAGAAATTGATGCATAAAGTTTCCATTTATAAGCACGGAACAAAAAAGGCAGAACGTAAATGATAACAACGACACATCTTACCAGGCTTTTGTCTTGGTCCATTCCTGATTTGGTTATCAGTTTCAGTTTTCCATTTGTCTATTAGGCGACCTGACCCACAACAGTCTGAAAGTGGAGATCACTCTGGTGGGGACAGGGATGAGTGGGGTGATATTCGCTCTATTTGGGGGGCAGCCTCTGCTCATTCTGGGCGTCACTGGACCCCTCCTCCTCTTCGAAAAGATCCTATACGAGTTCGCCGTTAGTTCATTTCTTCTCGTTTTAGGTTAGGATAAAAATAATCACAAAATATAGATGAAGCAAGGATTGCCGGTTGCTGTGTAAGTAGCACAAAATGTTCCGACAACATTCTCAGAATTTTTTTCAAGTTAGTGTCTTTTTTGTTCGTCGCGTGATGATAGAGATATACAAACGCGTAGAATTTTAGTGAGTTAGGCATAAACGACTACAATTGTGGTAAAAAACAAAAAAAAACAAAAGATGAAAAAGTTTTTTTTCAAAAAAGTTCTTAACTTTTTTTTCAACTTTTTGCACAAAATTCAAATATTTTCAAAAGTTTTTTTTTGGCTGAGAAACGTTATATAAGGCATCCAAAACGGTATTCTCTTTTTGTAAAATTGCTAACTTTTTTAGCTTAAATTGGTAAATTTGATTCAAAACAAATATTACTCGCTCGAAAATAGACGAAAAACCAAAAATTTCCAGCCAGTTTTTCTCGACACCTCAAATTTTTTTAAAAATTTTAAACACTAGTTCGAATCACGACTGAAAGGACATTAATATGATATATCTTTCAACCCAGTCCGATGATAATTTGTTGTACCTGATTTTGCGTGAAAAAAAAAGAAAAAAAACTATAACACACCTCTATATAAAACTCCTCACCCCCTTCAATGGTCGGAACAACAAGAACAGCTGGTTACTAGGCAAATAGCATAGAAGGCTGCAACCATAGTCTTAAATAACACACAAAAAAAAGTGCTTTTTTCAAATTAGTGTCATTTTCTCTGAGTGGTGAGGTAAAAGGATCTGAACTAAAAACTAAAATTTAATCATCTTCGTTAATCATATTAAAACAAGCAAGTTTGACAACAGTTTTCGCTGAAAAGTGATTTGAAAAACAAAAAAAAACAAATAAAATGATTATTAATTCAAAATTTTTTTTGAATTTTTTTGAATTTTAGATTTTTTTAATCCCAAAATGACCTCAAAAAACGACTGAAAAACTTTAATATGGTATATCACACGACCCTTTCCGATGATTATTTGTGATTCTTGATTTTGCGTGGATAACAAAAAGAAAAAATTAAAACACACCCAAATACAAAGTTTCTCCACATTATTTATGGTCGAACTATAAAAGTAATCACTAAGTATAATTAAACTATTTAAAAACTTAATACCCTATATGCAAAGTTGTATATTGGTTTGTTGGCCTAATAGTTGATTCATAATTTATTATGAGGATTTTGCTTAGTAGCAACATTTATATCAAACTAATTCGTTAATTTCAATTACATGTTTGCGCACAAAAAATACCACCTCTTGTGAGCTTTGTTTTCATCCTCCTAACTCCGATTATTCCGTATTGCCATGAAAAGTGTTCAGAACTTGCAGAAAAAATCGTTCTGTCTCTTTTTTTGATTCCGAAGCAGTTTTTTTCCATATTTCAATTTCTAACTGTTCCGATACTGTCAGGCATTGCTTCACTCAAGGACTACTTTGATTTCTCCATAAATGTTTTTTTTTCGACTATTCTGACCCGACACATGCATTTTTTTCGATTTTTTTCCTTGTCAAATACTGTTCGCGTGTTTGACAAGTCTTCACTTACACTTGTTGCATATGTCTTTTAAAGGATTTTTTTTTTACAAGCCGTACAAGTATGTAAGAGACGGTTGGCGAAAGTGGAAAAAATGCAGAAATTTGCAGAAATTTTTGAGCAGAGATTTTTTCAAGTATTTATGACAATTTTTGGTTAACTTTTATTGTTCCGACTTTCGATACGAAAGTAACGGAATATTCGTGCTCGGGGTGGGTTTTTTTCAGACAAATTTCGACTTTTTAACTAGCCTTTTTTGACGGAATTTTTTTTAAGCTTTTGTGGTCTTGAGCTCAAATTTGAAAAAATACTTCACCTGTGATCATTTTTCGTAAAGTTATGGGGGTTTAAAGATTACCATTTTGGCCAATTTGGGACAATTAACAACGTGCGATATATTTCGCGCTATTAACGTGCAAGCGGAGATTTAACCCGTCTTAGAATTCGTTCCAAATTGGTTGAAAGAAGCTTATTTGCCACAATTGATTTGTTACAAAGAGCGAAAAAGTCCTAAATTATTCTGATAACTGCAGACGTGCATTCATACGTAATTATGCATTTATTAATGCACTAACGACTAATGTCTATCTATACAAAGCTGATTTAAATTAACCGGACAAAACGCGTTAAACTTGAAATTTAAAACGCATTTTGCTCAAATTAGTTGAGTTTAGGTGAAAACTGATGAAGACAAAACTTGCTTAACTTTTAGCATAATTAGTATGGTGCAATTTAATTTGCAAAACTCGGGTCCAAAATTTTACCCCAAAAATGGGTCATTTTGGTTTTTCTTAGTTAATCGAAAATTACGCCAAAAATACCCAGTCGATCACAGACATATTTATATCAATGTGAGCCTATTACGTAGCCCAACTAACTTTAATCAGGAAATTTTCTCCAAAAAAAACTTTGCAAACCGTTTAAAAACTGTTTTTAAAGAAAAAGTTGGCATTTTATATAGTAAAAACGACCTTTTTTTATCTATCAAACAAAAATGAAATGACTTATACAATGTTTTGGAGAATATACCTTTCTTAAAGTTTGTTGGACTAGGTAAGGGGCTCACATTGATATAAATATATCGGTGATCGACTGGATTTTTTGGCGTAATTTCTGATTAACTAAGAAAAGCCAAAATGACCCACTTTTGGAGTAAAATTTTGGGCCCGAATTTCGCAAAACAAATTACACCATTATTAACTCTGCTAAATTTTTAAGCAAGTTTTGTCTTCATAAATGTTAACATAAACTCAACCCAATTTGAGAAAAACGCGTTTTAATTTTCAGGTTTAGCTCGTTTTGTCCGGTTAATTTAAATCAGCACTGTATGCCCTTTTCGAGTTCAATTGAAAAATTTTTGCTAAAAGGTAAGCACTTTGCACTGTCCAATTACGAAGGGAAAAAATGCGCAAAACACCGTCTTCTAGTTTTAAAAGTGGTTGCTAGTTTTTAGATTTCCCAGCGGATTAAAAAATACTTATTGATCTAGTTTTTTTAGTGGGATAATCAAATCATTTTTTCCAAATTTTAAAAAGTTTTAAGGTGATACATTTTATTTTCGGTTTTTTTGCTCTTATACGCTTTTCGAAACTCTCTGTAGGAAATGTTATGTCCGTTCAGCTGAAAGTTGACGTTTTAAAGTTTTGGTATCTGGTTGAGCTTTTTTTACGTCGAAAACTTTTACTTTTACAAACGAGTAATAAGGAGTCGGCGTTTTAAAAATACTTTTTGAAAAACATTTTCTGAAAAACCATCCCTTCAAACTTAAGTTTGACGGATGCAGAAGTTTTTAAAGTTTCTAGCTGGGTTTGCGTTTGTAAAAATTTTTTTTCATAATTAATAATTGCTGATGTTGTAGAAATGTCTTAATTTTTACACTTCTGTAACTTTGTACTTTTAATAGCACCCGGGGGAACTAAACATTTCATTGGTTTTTTGGAGAGGGGGGTCAGCAGGTTCAGGCGTTAGGAGTAGCTTGTATGATTAGGAGTCGGCGTGGCCGGATGACGAGGCCAAGTACTTGCAGCTGCGAATGTGGATTGGGGTGTGGACATTTGCCTTCTGCTTCCTCCTCGCCATGCTCGACCTCTCCTTCCTCATCCGTCTCTTCACCAGATTCTCAGAGGAGATATTCGCCAGTCTCATCGGCGCCATTTTCATATATGAGGCGGTCAAGTGGCTAGTGCATGTGAGTTGAGTTTGAATTAGAATGAGGCGTGTGTATGGGTTAGGGAGGCCTCAGATGCAGCTAGGATCTAACAGTGAAACATGAGCATATTTTATAAGACAAACAATAGGCGGATGTTCAATTCTTGTCGCCAAAATTTTCCAAAGGGTTGTCCCAAGTACTATTTTACGACATCCACTTTCGGTCGAACAAATCAAATTTTCCCTAAGCGCTTTTAGCACCGATGAACACTAAATTTGAAGAGCAACACATTTTTTTCCAAAAAATCTTCCAAAAAAACCAAACAACGTCAGTTTTAGCTTGCTTTTTTCAAATTTGTCTGCGACGTATAACTTAGCAAAATAGAATACTTAAAATACTTTAGGGATGCTTCGGAAGATCAATTTGATCGACCTAGAAAAGATCGACCTTTTCCCTATTTTTTAAAACAGCCCCTCCAAAAATTCCTGCGCATGCCGCTGGTCACTTGGTATTTAGGAGAAAACTGATCAGAAAACTAATTTGAGTTACTAGCAAGCCCACAGCTTCTCAATGTTATTTACATTAACTTTTTTTGTATGGTGTTCACTTAATTCAGCTAATAAACGTTTATTTTCGTATCATGCGAAATATTTTAAGACTTTAGGTGCACATCTTTGGCGCCAATTCCATCAATTTTTTGACTTTTTAGATATGCTTAAGAGTCAATTAACATAGTTCAGACTCTTATATCCGTCGCGATGACAAGAAAAGACTTAAGATTTGTTCAAGCTCAAATTAACTTTATCGCGGTTTGACTTTTGATTTTTTTCAAGTTCAGTTAATTTCCTTTGTTAAAAAGAAGGCAAACTCCAATATCGGACAGGAAAAGCATTATGGTGGCAAAAACGTGATCAAGTTCTTATTTCAAAAATGGAATTTTGGAATTTAATTACCAGATTTTCCAGCCAAATGAAAATTTTACCTTATAATCAGCCCCTCCAATCTAGTTTTGTCAAAATTGCTTCGTTTTATCGAAAGAGTGTCAATCATAACATGTTCTTGAAATTCGAAGAGATTCAAGACACTTTATGTTTCGTCTTTGAAGTTCGAAAGTGAAGATTTTTTTATTTTGCTTCTGTTTACTTTCTTTCATTGACTATTTTCCAACTGCTTGTTGGCTATGTTTTTTCTTTTGGGAACACTTTTTACGGGATCAAATTCAATGAACGGGCTCTTTTCCAGTCCCCATCAGCTTTCAAAATGCTATATGGCTAATTTCGTAAAGGTACAATGAAAAATTGAAGAACAAGTTTGTCCGCAATTATCAGTTGGGTCACCATGCCAAAATTCATTACATTATGACAACGTTGAAGAAATTTTTCAAAACTGAAACTAAGAGGCGCGGGGCAGTGGAAAAGAGCAAAGTAACTAGTAGATACTGATAAGTCATGATGATTTTTCTAAATTTTCTACATGAAAATTTTTTATTTTTGTTTTATCTCAAGTTTAGACAATTTTTACTTAGAATGTTATCAAAAGTTGCATATCAACCGACTGCAAATGATCTGCACTTACTTCTTTAAAATTATTTCTTTGTTTTGTGGTTTTCAGCACTTACCGGTTTTTCCGATTCTGAGAACACCAATTTTCACCAATTGTAACAATTTTTCGATGGAGGCAACGTTTTTTTCGAATAAGCGGATTCCAAAAATTTAACCATGTGAAGCAAAACATTTTAAACGAGAAAACTGCATTTTTGAGAGTGACAACTTTTTTTGATGCTGTTGCTTCTAAACATTTCACACCATTCGAAAATTTCATTTGAAAAAGTTAAGACTGGCCATTTCAGTTCCGGAATAAACAAGTAAATGCTTCAAATAGAGACTTTCCGAGAGGTTAGTTCAGATCGTTTGTAATCGGTCGGTATAAAACTTCCTTGAAATACTTGGTAAAAGTTTTTCATAAATTTCCGTAAAATTGGGCATATTCAGAGTCGATGAACGTAGTTCAGACTTTTACATAGGCCTCGATGATTTTTTTTTCTTTTTTTTTCAGGATAAGACAAGAATTTGTTCAGGCTTAAATTTACTTCTTCGCGATTTGATTTTTGATTTCTTCCCAATTTCAGTTCATTTCCTTTGTTAAAAGGAGGGCAAACGCCACTATCAAACAGCAAAACTAATTAATTCTCACAAATTGTGATCGACTTCTAGTTTCAAAAATGGAATTCATTTTTCGGATTTCCCAGAAAAACAAAAAATAATTTCTCAAATTGGTTTAATTTTATCATAAAAAATGCCAATTATTTATTGTACTAGAAATTAAAAATGCTACAAACACATCTATTTTCATCTTCCAACTTCGAAAATTGAGATTCAACTTCGAAAATTTGTTTTTTTTTGTTTAATTGACTCTTTTCCAATTGCCTGTTGACTATGTTTAGAAGGTAAAAATCTGAATTTGCATTTAATTTTGTCTGCTAATATAGTTTCGAAAATGAATTTTAAGTTTTAGATTTCCAATCGGATTCTTTTCATTGACTCTTTTCCAACTGCCTGTTGACTATGTTTAGAATATATTCGCCAGATCGTTTGTAATCGTTTCAATTTTGTCTGCTAGCATAGTTTCAAAAAAGAATTTTAAGTTTTAGATTTCCCAAAGGATTAAAAAATTAAACTAACGATTTAGTTTTTCAAGACTCAAGGATCATGGTGAATATAGTCTAAACATATAGTTTCAAAAATGAATTTTAAGTTTTAGATTTCCCATCGGATTAAAAAATTAAACTAACGTTTCAGTTTTTCAAGAATCAAGGATCATGGCGAATCATGACTTTTATATAATTCGTAATATTTTTTTCGTTTTTTACATTTTCACTAGAAAAAAATAATCAAATTTGTTCGCGCTCAGAATTAGATTTATAGCGGTTTGAGATTTGATTAAAAATCGATGAACATAGTAAAGACTCTTATTTAGGTCGTGACAATTGAAAAAATTTTCAGGAAAAATCTTAACTTATAAAAAAAATTGTGTTCAAGCTCAAATTTCATTTTTCGTGATTTAAATTTTGGTTTCTTTTCAAGCGCAGTTGATTTACATTGCTAAAGGGGAAGACAACACCATTATCAAACAGCGAAAAAATAGAGGTGACAAAAGGGCGATCCGATTCTATTTCCGACAGTGGATTTTTTTTCCGACTTCCCAGCTCAAAAAAATTTACCTTTTGATCATTTTTTTTTCAAATTGTATTATGGGGCCAAACTGTGTTCTGGATAGGCGCACAATTTTGTGTCTGTCTGTTCCTGGTTTCCAGAGAAAAGTCTTTAAACATCTTAAATTTTTGTCAGAACGATCAAAGAAAATGAAGGAACAGAAGAAGAATAAGCGAGTAATAAGCGAATAAGAAGGGAGCGTCCTTGTTGCGGAATACGCTTATATTTCCCAAAAAGCACAGTTTGGCCTCGTAATGCGGGTCAATTTTATCAAAAAAAGTTCCCATCTTAAAGAAATTTAATTGCATATCTTTTTTTCTTTGAAATTCAAAAGTTGAAGAATTTGCAAAAAGCAAGTCAATTTTCTTTTCTGTTTCCTTGCGTTCATTGGCTCCTTTCCAACTGTCAGTTGGCTATGTTTGTAGGTGTTTGCTGAGCGACTGTGCCCGATGAGGGACTGTTGTGTGACCCAGTCATTCGCATTCATGACCTCCAACTGTGTCCCAAACAACAACAGCAGACTGAGACGAGAGAAGGAAGAACAGACGACTCACTATAATGAGACTTTTCTCAGACTCATACGTGAGTTTTGGTGTTAGGAATTAACACCTTTTATGCGAGAGAAACAAAGACAAGCTTAGTAGATATTTGGTTCTATTTGGCGCCTTAGGACCCTCTCTATATCCATAGGACCTAAATTAAGGCTCTTGGAGGATAAGGGAAACTTCTGTTGTCAGGCGATTTTAAATTTTGAAAGTTTTCCAGCCTGATAAGTTGCTACTAATTTGCCCAGTTTAAGTCAAGAATTTCACTGAGCGCATGCATTGTCTACATAACGTCTGCAAATCGAAATTTGTTACAAAATCTAAATGTGCAATGTTTGTTTTTTTTTCGAAAATTGTAATAGTCCACAATAAACTAAAATATCATCTATACAAAAATAACATTTCAAATCACTATTGTATCAATTTCTGCCAGGAGATCATGACCCCTCTGGACTGGTAAAAAGTGAGAGCGGCAGAACAAGTGAGAGCGGTAGGACTGGTATGGACAGTGGTGTGAACATGGGCATGTGTCCCCGGCAGAAGGACTCCTCCTACCTCAGCTGTGCCATGGACTTCTTCCGTCCCGACGAGGCTCTCCTCGCCCTCCTCATCCTCATCACTGTAATCATTGTGGCCATCGTGCTCGAGAAGTTCAGAAAGGGATCCCTTTTACCCCTCAGGGTAGAGTATAAACAATAAGCTGAAATAGTTTTAAAAAACAAGCTTATAAGAATATCCTCTACGATATAAATTGCTAGTCATACTACCATTGATAAGGTCATTTTGGAAGCTCAAGCAGAAAAAAAAGCAAAACCATTAAACTGCAAAGACATCTTAAAAGTGGATAAAATTTGAAATCCCATTTTTTATATCGCAAGCGCAAAATGTTTTCCACGGAAAAAAGTTACCGACAACTTTGAGTTTTTTGAGAAATGCTGAAATACTCGATTAATGATATTTTTTTTCAAGACTTTTCGTTTCAATTTTTAAACGCGTTTTCAAACAAATTCGCAAGTTTGGGCCCTCTCTAAAATTAGTGTCTGTTTGCGGTAAAAACAGCTTAACAAAAATGTTTAAAACATTTTTTGGCAAAAAAGCGAATTCAGTAACTAAAATAGTACCAAATCAAAACTTGAGAGCTGACTTTAGGGTTTGACGGATTAAGAATAATGAGAAAACTCGAGGGCCAAACTTGAGGTGTTGAGAATATGGTCTCCATACCCCCTCTCCTGCTATTGATAGATGTAACCCCTCTTGCTCTGTGTTTAGGCGCGTCTGGTGTTAGCCGAGTTCAGTCTGCCGGTTGCACTTCTCTGTGGCACCCTCCTATCAATTGTTTTTGCCCCCTTCGTACCGGTTGAGGTTACACAAAATATCAACTGTTTAAAAAAATAAGACCTTGTACAATCATGTGATATTCATCTAAGTTTCGGGCAGTTTCAAATAATACGATTGCAATTTGAGACATTTCAAACAATCGCGAGTACCTCCAAACACTGATTCAAGCGAAGAAAAGCCCGGTAGAGTTAATGTGGAGCAGGTGTCTGTTAGTTGTCAAAATGGCGTGGCGGATGCTGATTCTTTGAAAATGTATACCATATAGAAGGTTGATATGTTAATAATGTTTGCAGAGGATGCACATGGCGTTTCCGCCCACCTTCAGACAGATCACTTTCGCCTCTTTCGGCTATGCGCCCATCTACGGGTTCCTGCTGGGAATCTTCCTCACCATACTCATATTCACAGAGACACAGCTGTCAGGGTAAGATCATATAGTCGGTTAGTAATGCTCTTTCCCATTAAGTAGCTCCATGCCACCAAATTGTGCAAAGCTCCCATAGTGAAACTTTATTTTTATGTGAAACTTTATTTTTTCGTTACAAAAGTCAGGAAATAGAATGGCAGAGAGCCGCTAATAAAGCTCATAATTGTAAAAAAAAATACCCCGAATCTGCAACGCACTGCTGAGTTATAACCGATGGTCTTAACTCATAGAGTAATTTCGGATAGGGTACACCGTCTGCTCGTCACGCTATCTTATTTTCGGCCGGATAGATTCGTGCAACTTCTTAGTCTAATACCGATCCTAATCTTACTCTTATACTATCTAGTCTCAGGTTGTTTAACTAGTCTCTGCTAGGCTCAATAGATCTAGGGTATACTGGTTTATTGCGGCTGCTGAAGTTCTCTTGGAGAGGCAACTAATTTCTAAGTTAAATTCAAATCTCTCTGGTGCTGAAATTACAAGTAATCTCAGCACTTACAAATAAGTGGGTTGTTAGTTAGATGGATCATGATTGGTTAATATTAAATACTTTACAGTGGTAAAATATCTAATTTATCCAATCATAAAATGTAGCTTAGATCAGGTTCCACTGCCGTAACTTGTCATTCACTTTATCCAAAAGATTCTTATCAAAAATAAAACTAATATGATAATCGACTTTGCTTGTCTTCTATTCTCATGAGCTCTTCAATAATGTGAAAACAAAATGTAAAACGTAATGAAAGGTAAATGTCTAGATTAATAGCGACCCAGAGACGCAATCGACTGACGCGGGTGACTGCATTCCACGTGAACATCCTCCTCCTGGGATGCTTCGCACTCTCAAGTGGGTTCCTGGTCACACCATTCGTATGTGCAGACCCACTAAGAAGCTTCTACCACATCAGTTAGTCATTTAAGTCAGCAAAAATAGCAACATACGAGCTGTTCAGCTCTTGACGGGGAACCACAGTTGTACCCTTGGTTGAAAACTACTATGGCCGTTTCTGTTGATTTTACTGGGCTCAAAAATGTTGCCTCATCCGTGAAGCCAACGAGCGCTGATCATGGTGGGCCTCTCATCAACAATTTTTGGACTGAAAGGCAGAAACGAAGCTATTTTACCACCGTTCCCTTCAGAATACATTAAGCTAAAATTCTAAGAATCTGTAAATCTTATTGTAAATTAAAATGCTCTTTGATACAGCTTAGTTCTTCTTTTCCCTTTACCATCTTAAGCACATTGAGCTTATATTGAATCAAATAAATGGCACAAAGGCTCGTGAAGATCAGAGTTACAAATATGAAGCGAAAAAAGAGCCAATTTTTATTTTTCTGCTCTGTAGGGGCCCTGACGATCTACTCTAAAGTGAATGCCCCTGGGGAGACCCCTCGGATTGTGAGGGTGCAGGAACAGAGGGTAACTGCATTGGTGCTCAGCATACTCACTGGTACTCACACATCCCACTTATTATCTACAGATACTCAACACGCAATTTTATCTGGCTTCTTCTATTCTTTAGCCCACATCTTTTCACTCCCTTTAATTCGACCACGAGTCGGCTAATTTAAATACAATGAATAAATAAATCACATGGTATAAAAAAACTTGCTATCGCGGGCGTAGCTGCTAATTTAATTGCAGGTTAAGCCAGGGGTAGATATAGGGTTTTCTCGAGGCGGGGGGTTTTCACAAAAAATTATCGAACTTTTTTTAGGTCGACCAAATTGATTTGATGAGCTCTCCGGATTTTTTGGGAAAATTTTGACCAAAAACAATTGCGTTTTTTTGGCGCGCGTTCCCTTCAAAATGTCAAAACGAGTATATTTTGGCGCCAAATTTTTTGGGTTCGTCAGCCAAAAAAAGATATCTCAAAATAGTACAAAGTGGGACCCTTTGGGTAGGAAGGTTCGAATCCCTGAGGAAGAAGCAACCGCCCTTCGCCCCCCTCCCCCCCTAAATCTGCTGGTGGGTTAGACTGTTTGAAATTTTTGAAAATGACGATAATTTGACATAAGCTTAAAATTTACTATTAACCTTTGACTTATTTATGTTGGCATTTATAGAAAACTCTAACACACATTGGTTTGGATGAATATTTATGAACGTTTTTACTTTTCAAAGATCAATTAAATGTATTATAAGTTTAAAGACTCTTTTTTAGGTGTGACGGCGTTTGCGGAACTATTTCTGCGCTACATCCCCATAGTGGCCCTGTATGGAATCCTGCTGTACATGGGGTTGATCACACTGTTGAACCTGGACATGGTGAAGAGACTCAAACTCATTCCGCAGATGAGAGAGTACCATCCGGACACAAAGTACATTCGAGTGGTGAGTACACTCACATCTGGGCCGAGCTCTGTGACTTAAGTCGCGGCCATAAGGGGGTTGCGCATATGATCTACTTTGGAAGATTTCCCAGTGAAATACAAAAAATATCGACTATTACATCTTTCTCAAATTGAGTTATTTTATCAAAAAAGGTCAATCATTAATTATTCTTGAAAATCAACTTTTGAGGCCACATTTTTTCTTAAGTTCAATTTTTTTTCAAAAAAAGTATCAGTAACTTTTTTCCTTTTTCCTTGCGCTCATTGACACTTTTGCAACTGTTTGTTGGCTATATTTAAGATTCGATGAACACAGTTCAGACTCTTTTGTATTATTTTCAGCTCATTTTCTTTGTTAAAAGGAAGGCAAACTCCACTATCGAACAGCGAAAGTGTGAAGGTCACACAAAACGTAATCAACTTCCTGATTCGAAAATGAAATTTAATTATCAGATTTCCCGGCGGAATCAAAAATTTACTTATTGATCCAGTTTTCTTACAAAAAGTTTTCTGAGAACTCTGGATGTGGAGCTCATAAGCTTTGTCCTTTAGTTTCGCATGCGCCGGATGAATTACGCAAGGCTTTGTAAAAGCTAAAACAGAAAGAAAATTTTACCGAAATCATTCATACTGTGACACAATTAATTTAAAAATGCTGCTGACAAACTTTATTTTGCAAATTTTTGACTTAAAAAATCGAGGCAATAATTAAAGCATCAAAGAATAATAATAATAATCATAATAATTATAATTATTATGATTATTATTATTATTATTATTATTATTATTATTATTATTATTCTTATTATGATTTTTATTATTCTTTAATGCTTTAATTATTGCCTAGATTTTTTAAGTCGTAATGAACGTAGTGAGTACTCTTATATTGTTTTTGGTGTTTTTTTGTTTTGTTTTTCAGGAAAACATCTTAAAACTTGTTGACGCTGAGTTTTTGTTTTTCGCCGTTTGGCAAACTCCACTATTGAAAAGCGAAAGTTTAAAGGTTACCGAAAACGTGATAGTCTTCTTGTTTCGAAAGTAATTTAATTATCAGAGTTCCCAGCGAAATAATAAGTTTAACCTATTGATCCAGTTTTCTCAAATTGGGTCAGTTTTATCAAAAAAGCACCCATCATAAAGTATTTGTAAAGTATTCGGCTTTTTTTCTCTTTCCTTGTGTTCATAACTCTTTTCTTACTGCCAGTTGGCTTTGTTCAAAAAGTTTCAATCATGTATTTTTTTTAGAAAATCGGAGAGCTTTAAGACCATCTATTTTTTCTTTGAAATTCAAAATTTGAGATTTTTTCAAAGAACAAGTACGTGTTTTTTTTTGTTTTCTTGCGTTCATTGACTCTTTTCCGGCTTTCTGTTGGCTATCCTTTTGCTGTTGTGGAATCCAAAGTTGATCGATAAAACATAGCGCATATGAAAACGCTAGCTCAAAGCTTTGAACTTTTTGCTCGATTGCTACCTCATCGAAAAAAAAGCATATCAAAATCAGTCATATTTTGATATTCATCTTCCGCATTTTTCAACAACATTTCCCAAGAACTATTCAGACTGCTATAGAAATGGAAAAAAAATAAATTGTAGGAGTATAAAGTCAGCACCTCAAAATGGCAATGAACATATACAACAACCTAGACACTTACTCAAACACACGCTTTTTCATCCCCGCCATTTATCTTCCTTTCCTTCTCGAAAAAATTTTGTTAGTAAAACGTTTGTTAGCCATGTCTGGTTTTAACCAAATAAAGCACTTCCCGCACCTGAGTTTATGGATCATAATCGATTATTATAGAAAATTATTGTCAAAAATAGTGTCATTGTTGTAATCCATTATTGTTCAAATTTAGACCACAAAATCGATTGTTTGATTTTCGTAAAAACACAATTCTTTAAAGTATATTTTAATGAGTTATAATCCATTTAAATTTCATTATAAATTATCATTATGGATTATTATCTTCATCTATGTTTTGCAAAGTCATTTGCAAAAAATGCAACATTTTTGCGTTACTCAAGGCCTACTCGCAATCTAAACCTACTCAATTTGATATATAAGGCGCATTTACCGCTATGTTATCACCCCCACTTTGACCCCAACCAACCCCCCCATATTTACAGCCCCAAGTTATTCCCCCAACCCTCAGCCCCAAACCAAAAGCCCCCCCTGATATTTAGCCTCCCACCGTATTTACCCATTTACCATCCTCCCCTCGCTTCCATATTTACCTCCCCCCACATCAACATTTGCCCCTCCCCCACATCTACATTTGCCCCCTCCCCCACATCCACATTTGCCCCCCAGTCCTCAGATCCACTTTTGATACCCCCCCCCCCCCACCCCCGCTCACACACAACTTTACACCACCCCCTACTTTTATACACCTACCCCTAACCCCACGTCCCCCCGTAAAAGTTAAAGTAAAGGGGTGGGGGGTAAGCGGGAGTGGGGGATGTTAACGAGGAGGTGTAAGCGGTGGTATAGGGGGTGTATAATCGATTAAAATGTTTTTTTTTTATTGACAGAAATTAGGTTTATAATCCATTTTGATCGATTATAATTGAAAATTTTTGAATTTTATTAGGAGTAAAAATGAGAATTTAATAAATTCGATTATTATTCATGAAACTCCGGTGGTTTTAAATCAGTTAATGATATCCAAAGACTGTGTTAACAAAGTGATTAGTTTTGATTTTAGTTTATCTGGCGTTGTTGCAGTGTCCTTATAAACAACATGCACTAAATTTCACAAACAAAATCCTTGTACAACCTGAAAGCAAAATGGTTCAAAAAATGCATTTTTATTTGACTCACCAGACCAATAGCTGCCTTACTAAATTCAGATCCATACTAAATTGCTTACTTTTGACATTGAATTCAAAATAGAGTGAATTTCTTCAGATTTACACTTAATCGATGTTGCTTTTCATGGCGTTTCTTGTTCCTTCGAAAAAAAAGCGAGAGATGTTTCAAAGTTTGCCGTCACTTAGAAAATTTGGAAGTTTCGGTTTTTCTTGACCATCGGTAATCTCAAAACTATAGAGAGTTGCAAAAAGTTCGGACATACAGAATTACATAAAAAGAGCAATCGTTCCATTTTGATAGACTTTAGCATGCATTTTTATTTGTTCAGAGACACAACTTTGGTCTGATAAATTAGGTTTTGCACGCAAGTTCCAAAATAGTTCCATTGCTCGTTTTAATTAATTTTGTCTGTCCGAAGTTTTTGCTACTGATTATAGAAAACAACTTTGAAGTCATTTTGAATACAAAAGATTGCTAAAAATTTGAACAGACAAAAATAATTAAAGAGAGCAAACTGCCATTTATAAGCATGACTTTTGCCTGCAAGTTAGGTAATTTGAGACATACTTTCTGCCTAAAAAATTAGTTTTTGCCGGCGAAAACTGTCTGAAAAAGGTAATTCGCTGTTGTTAATTGGTTTTGTCCGTTCGAATTTGTTTTGCAACTCTCTTTAGCGACAAGCTCAAGGCTCGAATTCAATCACATGTGTAAGAAACTTTACGTTGTCTATAAGTTTTAACAGTTCCATCGGACAAAAATTTTAAGGTTTTGAAATAATTGTGACCTTCATGCTAAAACTATTTCGAAATACAGTGCTGATATAAAATTATCCGGACGAAACGAACGAAACTTGAATTTTCAACCACGTTTTTCTCAAATTGGGTTAAGATTAGACAAAAATTGAAGAGAATAAAAGTTGCTTAGAATTTCATCAGAATTAAAAAAGTTCGAAATTCTCAACCAAAATTTAACCCCAAAAATGGGTCATTTTGGCGTTTTTCAATTAATAAAAAATTACGCTGAAGCTACTTTGGTAATTGATGAGAAATATATATATCACAAGAAGCCTGTTACACAGCCCAGCAAAGTTCCAGAAAAATTAAATCTCCAAAAATCTAAGTAAATTGTTTAAAATTTGTTTTTAAGCAAAGATTTTGGGTTTTATAAAGTAAAAATCACATTTTTTGACTATCAAGCTAAAATATTTTCTCTTATACATGTTTTTGGAGATTTAACTCTTCTAGAACTTAGTTGAGCTGTGTGAAAGGCTTTTGTGATATATATTTCTCATCAATTAACAAAGTAGTTTCCGCGTAATTTTTGATTAATTGAAAAAAACCAAAAGGACCCATTTTTTGGGTAAAATTTTGGTTGAGAATTTCGGAGAAAAAATTGCAGCATATTAATTCGAATGACACTCTAAGCAACTTTGGTTTCACCTTTTGTCTAAGCTTAACCCAAGTTGAGAAAAATGTTTTGTCCGGATAAAGTTTTGTTCATTTTGTCCGGATAATTCAAATCAGCACTGTAGTCCTTGAAAGCTTCGAGCTTGACTTTTTTCGGCGTTTTGCACAACTGTTTGGACAGTTCAAACGAACATTGAAAAACAATTGGCTGCAAAAATTGGCTGCTAAAGGTCGGATTTATGTCAAAAATTTAAAATTTGTCTGTTATGTGTTATTGTTAATGTTATTAACAATAAATTGTGCCTACAATATTCTGTTCCGCTGTAACAAATTATTAAACTTGGGTCAATCGTTTTTGCAAAAACGTTCGTGCAACTAGCCATTCTGCAACTGTCCAAAAAATTGCGCTGTTCTACTTTTTGCTTACTTATTTATTTAGAAAAAAACGGATCTGCTGAAGTATCTACTAGAGAATCTCCACCCCGTAAAATAAACACAGTAAAAGAGCACTAGAATCGCATGAACAAAAAGTCAGTGATGATCATTTTATTTAGACATGCAATCACTCTAAATCGAGAGGGAGCGTAGCAATAAACTCGTGTGCAGATATGCATGAGCAGTATCGTTACAAAAAGCACTCAATTTTTGAAATAAAATTAGCCTAAAGAAACGTAGAGCAAATAAGCGTGCAGTTTTTTTCTGAAAAACGCTTGCTATCTGAGTAAACATAATTGAGTAAAAACATCTTGAAGTAGCGAGCGAGTTAGCTATATTCTTTTAGAG